TATTCTCTTATTTACAACATTATTTCTTTGTCTTTTTACAGTTTGACAGGAAGAGAGTTTTTTACAAGGTTCCCTGAGCTGCATGCTTTTCTTGTGGATAAACTTCGACAATGTACTGAAGCTATCRATAGGTAAGACATTTATTCATCTTTAGATTTCTTGGCTAGGAACTTAGCAACAACTTTTCTCGGTGGTAGCTTCGTTAACGTTACCTTAGTAGTATTSAAACGCAATTGTTCAAATCTCCATTCTAGGAAGAAATCCATTGGTTTTGTAAGAGTTAATACCAGCGCTATTCGAGCTTTGAACAACACGTCCCTGAAGCGTTTACGTAATATACCGTGTACGCAATGCATTGTGCCAATATTATCATTTACTATGATTGTATAAGTGCAACAACAGTTTTCGTTAATCTTAGGGCGACAGCTGTTAATCTTCATCCMAGTCTGTACCCAGTTTTAGTATTGTTATCAAGATTATACCCTTCTACCTTGGATGGTGTCGATTCAACCCTTAACATGTCTGCCTTTGTGCCCTATGTTATAAGGTAGGCAAACACTTATCGAACTATGGTTGCTTTTATCGGAAAGAGATGTATCATATTTTCAGTTTTAATCTTGATCAAGATTTTTTCTACATTTGATGTCTTTCATCCTTAATGATCTTATAATCAATCTTGGAATCTTATAATAAATACATATCAATCTGATTTGAGCGGCTGTTATCACCTTCCCAAAGCTTAAATCCCGATTCCTGATCCTAAAACCACTGAATCGCTAATCCCAAGTGACGATCCTGGTTTATAGATGTGGTAGTAGTTCTGTCCTCAAGGCACGTTCTATGGCAGCAAGAGCAATCGTGCCTTTAGCCAGTGGTGAGTCTATGGTCCAGACCATAAAAGAACTTTTCCTGTCGTTGCCTACAAGGTGCGTTGCATTATTTAATACCACTKAAAACGTGTACTAATTCTTTTTAATTATTGACGAGAACAATTTTGATGCTATTTGCTACCATCAAATTTAATCCAGTAATTTGTACATACTGCATATTAACCKACAGCGAGGTCATTACAGGGAAATTACAGACCGACGTCTTGACAGTACTCACCGAGCGCAGCAATCTCGTACCCAGAGCCCGCAATTTGCCATCCAGGAATCCAGCGAATGTCAATGCGTGAGAGACTCTGGAGGAATCACTTTTTTCTCGATTTCTGATTGGTTGRTGAATCACGTCAGCACTTTCCATGAAAAAATCTATAAATTCTAATCGAGAAAACAATATCTACCGAAAGTCGCATATTTTGCTAAAAAMTTCAAGATAAAATACTATTTTTAAGAGAAAATCGAAGTTAAAGTCGTATGCAAATMAGGACAAATCTCTTGCTCAAATAAGGATGCGGTTACGGCAATGATTTTCTATTGTGTTATCTTATAATTTATTAATGGTTTGATAAGGAATATSAGAGTGTTCAGTCGTCGTTCTCATTGAAAAGTCTTATTCTTATACTAGTGTTTTAAATTCTCTTTTTTAAGCTCCTTGAATGCCAACCAAAACAAGATGCATGGTGCTTTATTACAGGTACCAGATACTCTCTATTAATCTATCTACTTCTCTCCTTTGCATTTTAAAAACGCTACCATATTTTGTTAGATCCAGCATATCATAAAAGGCCATTTAGTTCAGTCCACTGCATCCAATCTTGTCAAGGGCATGGTAGCTARCAACGTATTACCGACATTAGAAACCGTCTATTGGATTTCCACAAGGTTAGAACGATCGGTTATGACGGACCGAGAGCTATCATAAGTGATTGTCATGACATTTGCACGATTTTAACTTGTTTTCTTACGAAACAAAATGGTTTTCTTAAACAGATGTAATCCTTGTGACGTCACCCGGGCAGTATTTCTTGATATCACRCTGGACCTTTGTGTTCACAATAATTTAGAACTAAAAGGTAACAACGCTTTGGTTACTAAACTCTCTTTTTCTCCCTTTTTTGACCTCTGCTTCTTCTGTCTTTCCTTTTCCTTAAAATCGCATATCCTTTTTGGTTTTGATTTCTATTTAATCCTTTTTTTCTTGTTGCTTTTGTCTAATAGACCTTAAATCTGATACGCACAATTTTAATGAGTCATATACGAGTTGGGAATTTGAAGTATGACAAAAAAGTTTTGTTAAGAACTGTCACTTTTCGTTGCCATGTGGTATAACAATGCATTCTTTTAATTGTAAGTCAAGATGGCGGCCGTGTAGGTGCTAAGGWCTATTCCCCTCATTCTGTCATTTGCTATATGTACTTTTGATTTTTATTTTTTAGGCCAAAAGGGAAAAATGGAGAATTTCGTCGACAATATAACACGAATACGAGGGATGGTTATGGAGACTGCCTTACATGAGACAATCTCTGTGAGTCCCAAACCCCAAATATCCATTGGTGTATCCCTTGTCAAAGAGGTCTGCKCACGAATAGTACTGGCTTCCGTATYGCAGTGCMGGAAATTCGAAGAGAAAAGGACTTGTTGTGAATTATCTTTGTCAGGATTAGACGATGCTGTCAACTTARTGTCGAAACCAATGAATCATTGTCACGTTGTTTGTTGTTTGCTCTCATCACGTGAGTACGAAGTTCGTCTGGCTGCACTGCATCACTTGGATRCAAATCTACCGCGCARTAATCCACGCCTGTCATGTGATCAGGAAGGTCGCTCCAATCAAAAAAAAKGTTATATCGATTTTGATGGAGAAGATTTGKCAAAAATTGCTTTAGCCTTACTAGAAATGGCGTTGGGCAAAGAACATCACTTGGACTGTCTGGCACAGGTAAAAGCATTTCTTATCATTTTAAAATGGCATTATGGCGATTATGGGAACTTATTGATAAATATGTATAGTAGGATGTGGCTCATTAGCAGGGGGTGTTTGGTATAAATGAGACTATACGTTCTCTCTAAATTACCTTATATCGAGCCTCCAATATCATTACAATGATTAGAGTACATTACACCCGTGAAACAAAACTTGCTTATTAAGTGTGATAGTTATATAGGGAAAACAATCTATCCGTGAAACAAAACTTGCTTATTAAGTGTGATAGTTATATAGGTAAAACAATCTATCTGTGAAACAAAACTTGCTTATTAAGTGTGATAGTTATATAGGGAAAACAATCTATCCGTTAAACAATAAATTAAAATAGAGAAATTTAGTATAATAATTAGTGAAAAAATAGTCGGAGTGTGAATAGAGTGTTCGCACTTAAACCGTGCAACTGTACAAAATCTAAGTAGTACTAAYTTGTACTAAAAGTGGACCTGRAGTAAGACGGTATCGAATGCTTCATTTGTATCAATTCAATTTAATTTGCGTACAGCATGCACGATTTACTAAATACAACTAAATAGCACTATTTAGTTTTGTATAGTTGCACGGTTTAAGTGCGACCACTTTATACTAAATTAAGCGTCAGTTAGTCAGGCAACGCCTTACAGTACAATACGCTTTCACGGTCCAGTGACCACACTAAATGAATCATAGTGTGAGCTAATTTAGTAAAATGTAGCAAAATTTAGTAGAATAAGTTTTTTGAAAGTATTTTGCCCTCTGGACACAAAAGAAATTAATGGAATTAGTGAGAAATTATACAAAGAGTGTATTAGGGTAATATCTATTTCACGGGTATTTTGACTTCACTCTATGTACTACAACTATTTCAAGGAYGGCCTCAGTCATATATACGGATTYTACCTTCGAGTGTTGAAAAGATYTCTCACGAGTGAGCTTAGCGAACGATGGAGAGATKTTCAACACGAGAAGATAAAATTCGTATCTCCAAGCGACCATGTAATATTTTGTTTATCATATAATTACATATGAAACAAAATTATATCGTTAAAAACCTATTTTCTTATAGTTCCACTATATAGAGAAATCTCGAATGTGTTATTTTCACTACTGTGAAAATAACATGTTATAGACTAATAACGTGTTATTTTCACTAGTGAAAATCTCAGCTTTACGAAATGGAGAAATATAGGACTGGTATTTCATAGATAATTATATGATAAAGTTATTTATTTTATTCCACGATTATAGACCTTACTAGGCCTTACTAATCATTTGCCTTGTACGTGCCAGGTTTATTACTGCTTATCTTTGGTTGTAAACTATCTCACCTTCCCACTGCAATCCTCATCTTCTGTCAAACTAGTCTCATACATTGAGGTAAGGCATGAGATTTTCCTCCAGTCTATTATAACGCTATAAGAATTCTTTTCGTTATCGTTTTCATAAAGCTCCATTTATTGCTCCATACTTTCCGCAATAAACTGGACATCGTGTTTGTGCGAAGAGTGAATAGAACTACACAGTGTAAAATAATAACTAATAAAATGATGGTGGCGATAATAATGATGATGAGACTTATCCACCTGATAAAAACCACTCTTTGAAAAAACGGGAATGGCGTATAACCCTGTTTGTGCTGTTTTCTGTTGAGATGCCGAGTTGAGCCGTGATCTTAGAACGCATTTTATATTTGAACAAATGAAGCAATTTTCGATTAAAAAAGATCCAGACTGTGATTTGAATCCTCTTCAACAAAAAGTTCAYAAGCCGCATTGTTTTGTCTCCAGATTTCCCCATGTATCCCAAAGACTACACCTGTTTTCTAACAATGGCTTCCTCGTCGGCTAAATATGAAGCGAAAGGTGATTCTGCTTTCTATTTTTGGGACATATCTCTACTAAAAGTAAACTTCAAAAGACTRAAAATGAACTTTCAAACATACTAAGATCTGCCTTCTCTTCCTCGGAACTACTGTSGGACATTCAAAAACCAATTAGTGCTCAAGGCGATTTCTGATTGGCTATACTGATTGCAGTGATTTATAATGATCAATTCTTAAAATAGTATCAAAGAGGGGTAAATGCCGTTCAAAGAGTCTATTCAGTAGAGGAAGGCCCCTGGCAATGGGCTCCTGATTAAGTAGATTGAGTCAAAATATTAAAAGCTAATTGTCTTTTTAAAAATCCTAGTGCTGGCGTTATTTTTTGACGAAAGCCGATCATTCCTCCGAACTACGGTAAGTCAAATATATCAGTACCACGATTGAAAAATAGGTGGGTTTTCATCTGCAAATTGGTTATTTGATATTCAACTCATGGCTCCCTTTAACCAATTACTGTTAAACATAACCAACCAGCAATCATTCACCGACACACTGATGTGTTATACACCAAATAGAGAATTATCTACAAATCTCCACCATCTTGCTTGTAAAATCCAACCAACCCAATTCTCGCTGCCAAATAAACCAAAAGAAAGACATTTGTTATTTTTAAACCAATTCTCAATTGATTCAAACTGATTCTATTCGTTGATTAGTGTTTGTTTGTTACTTTAAGGGATGGTATTATTTGTTCACTACTCGATCTCCTTTCCAAGTTGGCTAATAGTGTTTATGAGGAATATTCAAGCACCGACAAGGTATTTTGATAATCATTTCAAAGTAATTCACCCATCCGTTTCCATATTTTCCAATACTCGTTTTGAGTATTTACCGTAAAGCCACGGGATCAGGACGTACGCAGCTCGGAAATCAAGATGCGTATGACCAACASGTTTTTTTTAGTTAAATCATCTTTTCTTAAACCATATTAAAGTCCCGCGGGGGACCTTTGCGCGATTTTCTAACATTCATGACTTTCCATATCAAGATATAGCAGGGATGTGGGAAGAAATTCTTTCCCCACGTCCCTGGATATAGTTACCACGAACAAAGCATTGAACCGAGGCGTCAAGGTACAGTGAACATAAAAGAAATGATCTGTGATCAGTGTTCCTTGACGACTCGGTTCAATGCTTTGTTCGCGGTCACTGAACCTGAATACATATTATCTACGATCTCTGGTTTTGAACCAATCAGAAAGAATCTTTCAAAAAGATCTCATTTATACGAAACAAACGCTCGCAAAGACTCTAGGATGGACGTTGGCCTTTAATAACCTAACTTGTAATTTATTTTGATTGATATTTTCAGGCTCCTATCGACCTCGCCATACCTAAAATGTTCCACGACTTCAGTTTGTTACTTAAATCGACGAGTAAAGAAGATGCAAGTTTCGAGGTGCGACTTAAGACWGCTGGCATACTATCTGGTGGCGCTTTAGACGCTTTGCTGTGGGATCCGTGTTCATTACTTGGTAAGTACATCTAGGCTCCCAACATCATAGATGCAGTCTTCGGTATTGGCAGTAAGTGTATATAGGGTGGAGTGGAGTAGTTACACTTTGGCATAAGATAGTTTGGCAATTCTTCATTATAGTATTAGAATATCAAAACCTATAATTTATAGCCCTCCAATTGTCATGCATCGATGTCTTTCAGGTGGTTTTCCTCTGGAACTGTGGGAAGTGTTAGTGGATCTTTTACATGATGATGATTCCTACATACGGGACTGTGCAGCTCGAGTCGTGCTTACGAATCATGATGAAAACCGAGCAGAAGGTATATGGATGTATGAAGACATTAAATTTTTATTGACGTTGATTTTTGAGACAAAGTAGAGTATTCTTCATTCTGGAATTTTCTATGCCTCCTCCTCAGGACGGTTGGCATCCCTCTGGTATCGTCTTGGTCGAGCAGGGGCCTCGTGATGAGTCACAGTCTCCTTCAGCCATGTTGAAGAAGACAGGAGGTCAAACTTGAAAAGCATTCTGAAAAAAATGAAATTAAATCATAAGCGTTCAGTGGCATCGCAAGAACGTGGAAAACTCATGAAAAGATCGATGTTTAGGAGCAATTGTAAGAAAAGCCACGATAATTTTAGTCCGAGAAAGCAAAAAATATACCCGATACTCATGTTTTGCAATTTCAATGGGCAATCTTCTTCAACACGTCAAGATTATGATGGATAACATCGGACATATGAATTCAATGTGGGCGTGTTTTTTTGTTCAAATTGTTTTTATATGGCCTGTGCTGAACCTGGTTCATTATTTTGACTCCTAAAAACATTAGACAAACACACATAAAAAAATAATTGATGATTGAGAACAAATAAACTAAAAAAGGAAAAAAAGCACCCTATAAAAAAATGGCGATTTTTAATTAAGCCTTACAATGTAACAGAGGAAATAGATAAAATATTCACCGATGAAAGACTCTCGGTGAGAGAGATGCATGACAAGCGTGATAGAAATGCCAAGAGAGAAATTGAGTGAGTTTCTATCGCAAATGTTATGGAGCTTATGTTTTGGTCTACAATCTATTGCAAAATAACGTGAAACACCCCCACGAGTGTGTTACTACGACCTCCCCTCCCACTTTCCAATGTTGTTTTGCGCTTATTTGAAGATTGAATCGGTTGAAAATCGTCCTGGAAATACGGTTAACGTGTATTCAMCATTGGAGTGGGGAAATGGGGAAAGGTGTTCCGTTTATTTTGCAATAGATTGTAGAGTGAGAAGCAACATCGTCAACGACCTTGAGTAGGCGATGTGTAGAGACGCCATTTTGTACATCAAACCATGATGGTAGATGAAGTCCTCGTACTTTTCTGTGTTCGTTATATATAACAGTCCTATTTTTTCGAAGCAAAGATAAAAGTTATTTTACCGTTTCTACTAAGAAAATGTAAAAACGGGTCTGAGTAAGATATTTTATGNTTTATGGTCTCTACAACAACTACCATCAAGTTTTGATGGTCAGTTACAATTAATTTATAGTAGGAAATGCTTTTTTTGAATAATTTAAATCACGGACTTATGATGAACTTTATGTCTTTTAAACTTTCAGATGTATGTTTTYCAACACCGACACTGGCTATCAAAAATGTTCTTTGTACTATCTGTACCCATTTTCTCCCCAAAGAACCGCGAGTTACATTACAGTGGATGTTAGGATGGATCGTCACCATCGACACAGTGTCGATCAAGMACAGCAAAGCAAATTATAAGCAGTCAGAAATAGATCTTCTCTTTGATAGAAACTCTTTGAATTCCTATCAAGAAAGAGTAGTKCTTGCACGTTGTGCATTACACTGTTTAAATGAAGCTTTGCTTAAAGCAGGAAATAACCTCACCCCCATTTGGCCAAGAGATGCAGTTGATGAGAGATCGACTGGGGAAACTAGAAGGGACATCATATATCGTCTGATAGATGATGTAGCATCGGGATGCATCTCTAAACTACAGGGAATTATCGCTCGACCAGATGTTTCAAGTCGGCACTTTTTGGAAATATTCTCCAATTTAAATGGACTTGTAGCAAGCGGACGTTTACTGTCAAATCTAGAAATCCTGAACACAGCTGTAAATGGACAAGATGGGGAAACAGAAGAATTGATTGTAAAGCAGAAAAAGAAAAATACCGAACCAATGTCAAAGTTGATCGAAGGACTTGTATCTAATGTGAAGCTGATGGATTTGTTCTGTCATCCTTTAATGGCGGACTGTGTACGTGACCTTTCTGAGATCTATAGTTTTTCAGACATCAGCCTACAAGTGTGACAAGAACTAGAGGCGATGTCGCTAATTCTCGAAACACTGAGATGTTGCCTTCACCTGTCTGAAAAGTCGAGCTATACATATCGAATTACTAGAAATCATGAACACGAGCTCGTTCACCTGCGCTTTGAGACACGGACCAGCCATATTGGGGAGATGCGACAATGCAGGYCGAACTTTGTTGGAGGGAAAAACAAGTTTGAATGAAGAAGATGGATGAGAGAAAAATAKCACTCGCTGAACACGGATTTMAATYTCCCACACACATCTCATTTTGGTCTCATTTGTCAGGACCGCGCGTCAAGGGAGACTGGTGTGAAACGTCATCGKGGTGAGGGACAAAACACAAATTAGTGACGTGTATATTGGTCACCRTTTTTGCTATTGRAAAGCTGTTTCATTTTTTCGAATTAAAACTGTTAAGAACGTCCAATACTAGTAGTTATTCAGGAAGCGATAACTTTTAACGTCTAAACACGATGACGTAATAGATCATCGCTCCAGGACTACGCATTTCGAACGTTAACGCGCTGGCTAGTCTGGCTAGTCCACTGAATACCACCCTCTCGTCTACTGTACCCGTGGTCGCCAGTCAGGAGTGTGTGCACCGCAGGAACACCATTACCCGTCCACTTTAATAAAATCCTCTAACCGTATTTTGCGTCTACACTCAATCTTCGAGTTGTGTTGCGGTCGCTAGTAAGTGAGTGTGCACGGGGTCGCTAGTCCCCGTAGTCTTAATAGAACGAGATATATTCATAAGTATGATAGAGTGTACCCGCGGTCGCTAGTCCCCGTAGACTTTATAGAACGAGATATATTCATAAGTATGATAATGTGTACCCGTGGTCGCTAGTCCCTAACCCTAACCCGGCGAGATAAATCCCAGTCTAATCACAACTATGTAGAATTTGCGATCGTTGGGTAAATGCTGCCATACCACGTCTAGTAGCTTTACATCTGGTCAATACCAGAACTTAAATAAAATCACCGCAAGTGTCAAAAAGCAATAATAAAAATCCCTAAGTAAATACAACTTTGCCTCAACGCCAAGTTTTTGAACGTCAATGAATAAAGAAGTGCAAGAAAGAATACAGTCCCATTGATTGCGAGCTGGGTAGAGCTGGAAAATCCTACGACAGAGTCTTCATTGTTTCATTTTAATATTAAATTGGGTTCTCGATAAGCACGGGTCAACACCTTCGTACAATCATTTTCGAAACGAATTTTGAGGATCGGCCAGTCTTCCTCATGCTTGCTTCGACCTTTGAMTGAASGGTACGACGAATCAAATCATAATTACTTTACAAATAGAATTTTAAGTAAACGATTTATGATTTTTTTCGTTAAAATCTAATTATTTCTAACTTATATTCTTGACAACCAGGGGCGAGCATCTCCACTTATACACTAGTCAATTGAAACCCCCTGCCCCTAGCCCCCCGGGGAATACCGGGGAATTTAACGTTAAAATGAAACCTTTCCCCCGGTAGTCGGGGGCACATTCATTGTTAAAATCCCCGCTACTGTTGCCCCGCTATTTTGGTCTAGTAGTAAATAAGAAAACAAACACCTTTTAATCAAATTTTCAGTGATACACAGGGTTAGTTTTTGCACAATCCTTTGTACTCATTTGCATGCTACATGAAGCTAACTGGACGGAGAAAAACATGTGTAATTGAGTTTCTTTAACTGTAAAAATTTTTCATGCAAGGAAAAATAAACAAATAAAAAAGCAGGGTTGAATACCAATACCTTCAGGGTATTGCCGAACTCTAGTTTCCAGCCTCATACATGTTCAAACGCGCGTTAAAATCCCCGCCCTTTGCCCCGCTTTGAAAACAATTTATCAAAATCCCGACCCCCCGGGGCAATCTTGCTGTTAAAACCACGTTAAAAACGCATCACGTCCCCGTTCAGTGCCCCGCTAGCCCCGAGGGTCGGGGGTTTCAATATACTAGTGCATTAAAAGTCTAGCCGCAATTATGTAACATTGGTATGCGTGGCCGAGTGCCTACGATTTCTAATCCAGAGGTCTGACGTTCGATACCCAGAGATGACATTTCTTTAGATTTCTTTCTTTGCCAAAAAAGAAATGAATAAATAATCAAATGTAGAACAGGGAAACCGGTAACGGTAAATTAATGAATTAATTACTAGAAAACAATGAGAATAAATTAATAGTTCTGAACACGCAGACTCAAGTGTGACTGAGTGAGTGATAGATTTTTCCCCGTCCAATAACTCTTCGATTGTTTCGCAATCTTCGGGTTAAAAATAAGTGAATTGTTAAAAATAGAAAAAACAAAAGAATAAAAACGAGTCGTAAGGTCTATGCAGGAGTAATAAAWGAAAATATCTCGGGAATTACTCATCTTAATTGTCTGGCTTCTTGTTAAATTCAATAAGAATGTTTTCAAAATCCTAGGCTTCTTCTAGTTTATGTCGTAAGCATGTATCMGAGTTAAGAKTTTTATTCTACAAATWCTTCAGTCTATGGATATAAGTARCATACAAGAAATGATGAATTTCACAAACAAATCATATCTCAACAACTACTGGCTTGTATTCTTCCGGTTCACTTTCAAAATCCCACTTGAATGTTTTAGTMAGATGATTTCGGAATCGTTCAGCTTTTCTGACCAAGTTAACATCAGCAGTAGATGAACACTTTAGGTTTGAGAAAAACACCTTGGAAAAGAAAAAAGAACAAATTATCTTCAGATAATACAAACTCTCAAAAATATTATTTGAACAGTTAGCTTTGGCGTCAWCATGTTGAGGAATATTTGCTTTTCTCAAATGATGTCATTTCTGGAAACTCAATAAAAGCATTGCGGTACAGTGTGTGTTTGACTGTGTCAGTGGTGTTTGACTGGGTCAGTGGGTGTTTGACTGGGTCAGTGGGAGTTTGACTGGTCAGTGGTAGTCTGACTGGGTGAGTGGTAGTTTGACTGGGTCAGTGGGTGTTTGACTGGGTCAGTGGGTGTTTGCCTGGGTCAGTGGGAGTTTGACTGGTCAGTGGTAGTCTGACTGGGTGAGTGGTAGTTTGACTGGGTCAGTGGGTGTTTGACTGGGTCAGTGGGTGTTTGCCTGGGTCAGTGGGAGTTTGACTGGTCAGTGGTAGTCTGACTGGGTGAGTGGTAGTTTGACTGGGTCAGTGGGTGTTTGACTGGGTCAGTGGGTGTTTGCCTGGGTCAGTGGGAGTTTGACTGGTCAGTGGTAGTCTGACTGGGTGAGTGGTAGTTTGACTGGGTCAGTGG